TAAATAAATCTTTAAAAAAATAAAAAGAGGGGCGCCTGGGTGGCTCAGTCGTTAAGCGTCTGCCTTCGGCTCAGGTAATGGTCCCAGGGTCCTGGGATCGAGCCCCACATCAGGCTCCCTGCTCCGCGGGAAGCCTGCTTCTCCCTCTCCCACTCCCCCTGCTTGTATTCCCTCTCTCGCTGTCTCTCTCTAAGTAAGTAATAAAATATTTTAAAAAATAAATAAAAATCACATACTTCAAAATAAATTGCTTACTTGAGCACAGAAGCCTATCAAAGTCTAACACAAACAAACAGAAACTCAGTTTATTGTAACATACCACTGGCAATCCAAACCGGGTTCAAGTTTTCAAACATCTTATGAAATTGTATGCTGTTCTCAAGTATCTTTTCTCCTTTTTCCTAACTAGAGCTTAATTGCAAAGTTCTGGTGTGGAAAAGCAATCCGTGTTTGTACAGAGAATATAGCAGGGAAGCATCAAATGCAACACGTCTGTCCTCATAAAATAGACAGTCACTGTCTCCTTGGTGTTTCCAAAGAAATCATATACATGTTACTGTTTCTTAAGTCATATGCATGCTAATACTACATAGTCATTCTTAACGTTTCTGGAAAACCATGCTGTTTAGCACAGGAAATTATTATTGCCGCTGTCGTTTTGTTCATTATGTAAGTCAACCACCCAACAGTGAATCAATTCTCTAAAGCTAAGCGCTCAGGATGTCCAGCACGCAGCCTTCCAAAGGGAAGCCCTTCACATTGCCATAATTCACAAAGGACCAGTCGGCTTGCCTAAACTTATCCTTTACATTTAGGAAACTTTGTGGGTTCCTGTCTTCCCCGGGGGATTTTTATTACTTGTTTATGCAAACAGCAGATTGCATAAGAGCCTTGCTGGCTTTTTTTTTTTTTTTTTTAAGGGATTTCGTAGTTTCCTGGTAAGCACTCAGTCACCAGTTTCATCACCCTGACATGACATAAAGGCGGGAGCTGAACCTCGCGTTCGCCACTCAGACACACACCTCTTTCCTTGAGCACTCGCTAGGACCGACTCGTTCCACTCATGAACCTGCACCAGCAGCAGAATTATTTTCTGGAAATAGACAAGAAGAACTGCTGTGTGTTCCGGGATGACTTCATAGCCAATGTGCTGCCGACGGTGTTGGGGCTGGAGTTTGTGTTTGGGCTCCTGGGCAATGGCCTTGCCCTGTGGATTTTCTGCTTTCACCTCAAGTCCTGGAAATCCAGCCGGATTTTCCTGTTCAACTTGGCTGTGGCTGACTTTCTCCTGATCATCTGCCTGCCGTTCTTGACGGACAACTACGTGAGGAAGTGGGACTGGAGGTTCGGGGACATCCCTTGCCGGGTGATGCTGTTCATGCTGGCCATGAACCGCCAGGGCAGCATCATCTTCCTCACGGTGGTGGCTGTGGACAGGTACTTCCGGGTGGTCCATCCTCACCATGCTCTGAACAAGATCTCGAATCGGACAGCGGCCATTATATCCTGCCTCTTGTGGGGTGTCACCATCGGCCTGACGGGTCACCTCCTGTACAAACAAATGTTAATCAAGAACCAAGATGCGAATTTATGCAGCAGCTTTAGCATCTGCCATACCTTCAGGTGGCATGATGCCATGTTCCTCCTGGAGTTCATCCTGCCCCTGGGCATCATCCTGTTCTGCTCGGCCAGAATCATCTGGAGTCTGCGCCAGCGACAAATGGACAGACATGCCAAGATCAAGAGGGCCATCAACTTCATCATGGTGGTGGCCATCGTCTTCATCATCTGTTTCCTGCCCAGCGTGGCTGTGCGCATACGCATTTTCTGGCTCTTACGCACCGTGGGCACGAGGAGCTGTGACATCTATCGCTCGGTTGATCTGGCGTTTTTCATCACCCTTAGCTTCACCTACATGAACAGCATGCTGGACCCTTTGGTGTACTACTTCTCCAGCCCATCTTTTCCCAACTTCTTCTCCACCCTGATCAACCGCTACCTGTGGAAGAAGACGCCACAACAGCCAGATAATAACCAGAGCACAAGCATGGAGCTCACAGGGGATCTGAGTGCTACCAGGAGTGTTCCAGACAATTTGGTGGCCCATGCCGGTGAGCCATGGAACCCGTCTTATCCGACCCCAGCTTCTCGCTAAATACCCGAGCCAAGAAGTGAGATTGTCACCAAGAACCAAGGTCTCTGGGGAAAGAGTTTGGCTGGGTGCACAGAGTACCATCATGAGACGTGGCCTGTGGTTTCCTGGAATTTCCAGATTCGGAGAATCGGATTTAGAGAAGGAGTGTGGCAGAGTGGGCTGCCCAGTTGTCGAGCGTCACCAGAGGATTCTTGGGGGGAACAGAGAGTAAAGCTTCTGAAACTTCTGCTCAGTCTCTGGCACTCACAGAACCGAAGACGGCCAAACTGTCCACACTTCTGCCGAGCAGAGCTGGAGCCAGGGAGACGCCCGTGAGCACCTGTGATTCACTGGCCTCTTTCCCTACCTGCCTGAGGCGGGGGTGGCTCTCAGCTCCTGAGGGCGATACCCAGTCCATCTAGCCTGGATGAGGAAAGCTAAGTGGTTGGAGGGGAGTTATGGCCCCTGGGCGGAGGCCAGGAATCATTAAAGAAGCCAGTAGGTCACCCACATTCCAAGGGACCGATTCATCTTTCAGCCAAGCTTTAGCAGAAAAGCACCGGGCAGAGAGACTCACCGGTAGGGGTGAGAGAGGGATTAGCCGGGGCGGGACTGAGCAAAACAGTCTTACTGAGAGAAAGAAAAGGCATTTGTGCGGGGACCTGTGCCTAATCCATTCCTCTCCTGTTGACACTAACTGGAAGGCTGAGGGTTAGAGGCTTCAGAGAAGACAGCTGCTTCCCACCTCTGTTTGGTTTTGTCATTAAAAGGGAAATGCTGCCCAGTGGTTAGAGGGAGAAGGTTCCTCCTGGTTTGTTTGCTTGTGTTCCTGTCCTTATAAGAAATCTACCACTTCAATAAATTTTGATGTGAGACGCACAGTCTGGTGTTGCATGTGTCTGGGTGATGGTTCACAGAAAGGGACTTCTTACTTAAGCGGAGACCTTTATGGGTTGTTAACTGTGTCCCGACGGAAAATACCAAATACTGTCAAGTAAGGAAAGGAGGCAGACGCTGAGCTTCATCAAGAGAGAGTTAAGTAAAAATTACACCTGCATTAGGACGAGGATGAGGAAGGGCTGGGAATAAGTAAAAATCATTTAATTTGGAAGGGTGGTGCAAATAGGGTTGCAGGGGCCCTGTACATTTAGGGTTAGGTGAATATTGCTATGACTATTTGTGTATTTAAAAAGGAATCGGGACAGACTGGGGTGTTTGCAGAGGAGGGAGGGAGAAGAAAGAATTTCCTATGGAACAGTTTCTGTTCCCAGTTCTGGGATGGAGAGGAAATGTACTGGTTTGAGTCTGTGATCAGTCCAAGTTTCTGTTATGCTTTCATCCCCAGCCTGTCCCTCCTTGATTCTTTAGCAAGATGCGGCTTGCCTTGCCATCCTGACTCAGATACAGATAAGAAAGGGAGAGACTCAGACTCCAAGCCAGAGCTTAAATGGCAATAAATGAAGAACAGACAGACGTTCTCATATTGAAGTGCTTTCGGAGCGCTTTGCTTGCCCGGTTCTCCCGTTGATTCCTAGAAGTAGAAAGTTAAAGCAGAGATCACCTCAAAGAGGAAGAAGTGGCAGAGATGAGCTGAGAGGAAAGGAGTACGTTCCCGCAGTCTCCCATGCATGAGTCAGCAGCGAGCCTGGCTGGGAAACTCAGACCAGTTCAGCACTAACTCACATTCGTCCGTTTGCTCAGGAGTTCCATCAGCTTTCATTTATTTATTTTTAAAGCAGGCTCTACGTCCAAGGTGGGGCTTGCATTCACGACCCTGAGATCAAGAGTTGCATGTTCTACTGACCAAAACAGCCAGGGGCCCTTCCATCAGCTTTTAGGTATTAAGTGCCAATGATGTGTCAGATGCTGCTCTGGGTGGTTGGTGGAGATAGAACAAGGAACAAGGGGGGACGCCTGGGTGGCTCAGTCGGTTAAGCATCTGCCTTTGGCTCAGGGCACGATCTCGGGGTCCTGGGATCGAGCCCGGCGTCAGGCTCCCTGCTCAGTGGGGAGTCTGCTTCTCCCTTCCCCTCTGCCCCTCCCTACCACTCATCTTCGCTCTGTCTCTCACACACTCTCAAGTAAATATTTAAAAAAAGAAAGAAAAACCTTTAAAAAGAATTAAATCACAATTTGTCATGTCTATAAAATAAGAACATCATCATCATCATCCTTGATCATCAATAATATTTATTAAGAGAGGAGTCTCCTACTAAATATTTCTGTTTCCCTGTCCAGAGGAATGCCAATATTAATGTAACCTGGCTGGCTCTGTCAGAAGAGCACGCGGCTCTTGATCTCAGGGTCATGAGTTCAAGCCCCACGTTAGGCATGGAACTTACATAAAAAATTAATTAATTAATTAATTAATTTAAAAAAATGGGAGCAAATAACGTTGTTATTCTGAACTAAACCAGTGATGTGTTCCATCCAGTCTCACACTGTGGTATAGCATATGTGTCCTGTCCCTATGCTGGAAGGGGCAGTTATTTGTTTTTAAGATTTAATTTTTTTAAGTGATCTCAACACCCAACATGGGGTTTGAACTCACAACCCCAAGATCAACAGTCACATGCTTTACTGACTGAACCAGCCAGGCACCCCTGGATGGGGCAGTTATAATCATATATGCATTGATTTTCCATTACTTCCTCTTTATTTTAGAGGGTACCAGTTTGGGAGCTATGAGTTCTATGAGTTTATTATATAAAAAGTGGGACTTCAGGGCGCCTGGGTGGCTCAGTCATTAAGCATCTGCCTTCGGCTCAGGTCATGATCCCAGGGTCCTGGGATCAAGCCCCGCATCAGGCTCCCTGCTCGGCGGGGAGTCTGCTTCTCCCTCTGACCCTCCCCTCTCTCATGTACTCTCTCTCATTCTCGCTCTCTCAAATGAATAAATAAATCTTTAAAAAAAAAAAAAAAAGTGGGACTTCAGGGTGCCTGGGTGGCTCAGTCGTTAAGCGTCTGCCTTCGGCTCAGATCATGGTCCCGGGGTCCTGGGATCAAGCCCCGCATCAGGCTCCCTGCTCTGCGGGAGGCCTGCTTCTTCCTCTCCCACTCCCCCTGCTTGTGTTCCTGCTCTCGCTGTCAAATAAATAAATAAATAAATCTTTAAAAAAAAAAAAAAGTAGGACCTCATTTTAACTGCTCCCAAACAATCTCTTCCAAACTTGAAGAGATTACCCCTAAGTCTAGAACCATAAAATTGGGGCTTTAAACTCATGTTTGTTTCTGATTTGATGAACTCCCTTACCTTTCCAAATTTATTAGTCTACCTGACCACAGTGCCTTGCCTGAAGAGAGGGATCTAACTCACACCTAGGATTCTGGTCCTTAATACACCTTGTAGTTTCATTTTCAACATATTTCCTGATTACGATCTGTCGCTCTGTTGGCCGTCCCACTTAAAACAAGCAGCTGTCTTCCCAAATGGTCCTGACTCCTTTCTTCCCCCACTTGGTTTCTGTAATCAGAATTTTGCTGAGGAATTGGTTATCCGTGGTACCCTGGCCTGTGGTGGCATTTGGTTGGGTCACTAAGTATCAGAAATGGATCATTTAACAACCAAATTGGGCCATGGATCATCTCCTACTCCCCTTATCTTTTGGTTTGAATTGGGAACTTCTTCAAAGCAGAACTGGAATTTTAATGAAATTCTTTGACAATTGACGCTGGGCTGTTCGTGTTACCAGTCAAGTTCCTGAGAAGGGAATTCCTTTTTTTTTTCCCTCATTGTAGTAAGAAGATGCCTTATTATAATTGTTCAACTCAAGGTCCTCATAAATGCAAGTATCTGAAACACACTTCAAATTAGCTTAAGCAAAAAATGAAAAATCAAAAGTGAGGAAAGATACTGGAGTATCTCACAGAAACTGAGAGAGAGTTAAAGCAGGGTCAGGCAGCGCCAGGGGACAAGCTCACAAGCCTTCGTCCTGCTCTTAGCTGTGAACCTGACTTAACCTCTCCATACCTGTGTCTCTCCAGTCAGACTCTCACATGAGAGAATCTGACTGGTCCCAAACCACTCTCTATGAAAGAGTGATGAAGTCATGAAGATTCACACAACAGCGGTGCAAAGGGTATTTTAAAATTACTGTTTGGGGGGCATCTGGGTGGCTCAGTCGTTAAACGTCTGCCTTCGGCTCAGGTCATGATCCCAGGGTCCTGGGATCGAGCCCCGCATCAGGCTCCCTGCTCAGCGGGAAGCCTGTTTCTCCCTCTCCCTCTCTCCCTGCTTGTGATCCTGCTCTCACTGTGTCTCTCTCTGTCAAATAAATAAATAAAATCTTAAAAAAAAAATAAAATAAAATTACTGTTTGGGTAAAGACATGCTCTCTGCCAGGTGTTCCTCAGATAACATTCCAGATCACTTTCCATGCCACTCATACACAGCATGTTTGGACTTTTTTTCAGTGGATCTCAGTTCTCTTGCTGCCATGTTATAAGACAGTCGTCCCAAAAGAATGGAAAAGTAATCAGTTGACCTTTGGAAGCCACACAGTTCACGTGCCCCAAACCCATTTGGATGTGGACCTCCAGATGTGAGTTTTAGAGCCCTTCAGAAGGTCTTCCTGGAGAATTAAAGTCTTTGTAATTTTATATATTGCTTCATAAATTTGGGGCAAAGAAATACTCTTCAGCAGGCTTAGCTGCAGAAATACCTAGCCATGACATTCTGTTCACTAAGTTTTGTGTCTTCTACGACAAATGAAACATGACTATTTTGCAACTGGTGTTGTTGCTATTTTCTTGGAGCTCAAATTTAAGATTTGGCCACCTTGTCTCTTTAGGGCATTACAAATGTCAGGCTTGACCTATAGTCCACAATCCCACGGCCCTGGCAAATGAAAGGCAAGCACTTCTATGCTCTTAACAAATATTGATATACTCAGTGTTCTGGCCACACCCACAGAGGGATTTACAACCATCAACAGGTATTGGGAAAGGTACATGACGTTCCCTATACAATCGAAAAGAAGAAAAAGTGAGTTGACCTACTGATGTCATGAGGTTGAAAAACTGGGTTCCTTTTCAACATGTTTACAAAATATCCCTCCTGTTGATTATGATACTTGAATAAGAAAATGGTACTGATGATCTGCTTTTTTTTTTAAATTAAAAACATTTTTTTAAGTAATCTCTATACCCAACATGGGGCTCAAACTCACAACACTGAGCTCAAGAGTCCCATGCTCTAGGGACTGAGCCTGCCAGGCTCCCCTGCTTTTGGAAAGCAACATGAGGCAAAGACAGACCCACAATAAGAGAAACATTGCTTTCATCAGCATCATCATTTGATTGCCACCAGTATATCTAAGACTTACTCACCTGTCAGACACTGAGTGAAGTATTTTATGTGGGTAATCTCACTTCATCCTCCCAATAACTTCATAGGGGAGGTGCTATTTCCATTTCGCAGGTAAGGAACTGAGGCTCAGAGAGTTTGAATAGTTTGCCTGAAGTCAACAGTCTATGAGTGAGGGACCAAGAGAACAGAGGCCAGAGGTCTGACTCCAGAGTCTTTACCTTTAAAGTTCTGAAAAAATGCAAAATAAGAGATAAGCAATGTGAACTGAAGAAGGTAGGGTGAATACCTTGACACATTTGGGGTCAATATTCCCAGAACTTTCCAGGCTGCCCAACAACTTAGGCACCCAGGCACCTCCCAGGTCCAAGCTGAGATCATGTACTTAAGCTGCCCAGCACAGTACCTTGCGCATGGAAGGTGCTCTAGACATCAGTTTCTGTTCTCAAAGCTAATTAGTGATTGGCCCCTTCCTTCCTTTTTGAAGGCCCTTCTTGTCTTTCTAAAGAAGCTACCATTTCATAAGGAGGCAGATCAAGGATATTCACTGTAACACCATTTGTAATAGTG